TATTCTCCAAATGGGCATGTCATGTGTGTATGTGTGTGATAGCTAATATGTGTGTACGTTTGTACTTCACTTCGTTTGAGCGGTGGTGGCCGTTGTTTATTTGCTCACGCTTAGGCCAGCCACTAAATAACTGTTTGCACTTTTTGGTATTCGTCTTTGGGGTCGATTTCTCAATTTGAATTTGTGGCATTTTGTGGAGCTTTTGTGTGGTATACAATTGCTTTTGTACATAACTCGCTTAACAGAATTTCAGTTGCAAATATATTTTTGCTCAAATCGAAGTCCTGCTGTTTTTTTTTTTTTTGTGGAAAAATATTTTCTTTTTTTTTAATTTATTTGAATTCCATCTCCAAGTAATCAAGAAAATTTACAAAATTGTTTCAATAGCAGCTTGTTGTTAACTCTACAAAAATAATTTGTAAAAATTTTGAAAGGGTTTTTGTGCAGTGCAGTACGAGAGTAGCCTTTTATATTTCGGGCTGTGGCAACCCTAGTATTGCAATAGCAACTGACTACTTGGACATACGAGCGCTATTCGTGCTGTAATTTTAGTTTAAATTATTATTTATAAAGCTCGGAATTAAATCGCGAATATTTTCGCGTGATTGTGTAAATCAACGAGGATTTACTCAGCAATAGGGCTTCGATAAACTTAACCCAATATTTGGCGATGAAGCTTCATTAAGATCCAGTGTTACCGATGGTATGCTGAATTCAATCGAGGTCGTGGAACACTCCGAAGATCAATTTCGAGAAGGTCGTTCAAAAGCAGTTGTTGTACCGCAAGCTATTGATGATGTGCGCAAGATCGCCATGTGGCCCATCATAAGATTGAGAAAACTATAGGCATTCAATATTACATTTGCTCATCTTGAGACACACAATTTGTGAATCGTCGAAAAATAGGCTTTTAAAACGATTGTTGGAGAGAGATCTTAAAAAAAGTACGTCAGCGAAACATGTCCGAATGTGTTTATAAAGTTGAGCTGTATCCAACATAAGTTGTTCACATACAATCACTGAAGAGCTGAAAGGGTAACATCCCTTGAACGGATAAAATCCGTTGGAAGTTGGCCAATAGTTTTCTGATTCATCTACAAAGTGAACTCTGCTATCTCGACGGCCTTTTGCACATCTTCACTGCAAGGCAATTACAGCTTCAACCTGCGTAATCCGTGGCTGCCCTGTTCATCAGCTGCATGAAAAAGTAACAGCTCTCGATGTAGTTAAATTCCGACCATTAACAACCAAAGTTACTGGGAGCCACATTCAACAGTCTGCACCCCTTCTCGCTGCATTCATTTCAATTGCCACTAAACTTCAGAACCGCGACAAAAAATCCCCAAAGCGTTAGGCGGCAGCTCTTGACCATAAGAGGAAACTTCCTGATGTCGAGATATCGTAGATAGCAGTCCAATAGACACTTACTACATGCCCAACCACTACCAAGGCACATTAGAACGAGAATTGTTCGGCAGGACTTCTTACCGAATGGCATTAAATTCAGTCACCCATTGAACTAGCGTCAACACCTTTCTGAACACTCTTCAAGTAAATGGCGTTATCAAAGTCAAACCAATATCCATTGCAGACGAAGAGATCGAGCTGTCACTTAATACTTGCACAATTGATATCTAGATATTGTAGTGGCTTAAACTTTTGCATATCTAGACTTAATCCCGACACACCCAACGTTTGTACTGCCTGCAGTGAGTCCACGAACGACCTCTTTGCCTGCCGTCTAAAATCAACTCATCTAACCTCCCTTTCCCTCTGGTCCTTACCAATCTAAACAACTCATTTCCTATAACCCCCGTGAGATGACCTCGTGCGATGACTTAGTGGTTAGTGAACCGCTACAACAACAAAAACAAAAGCACCGCAGTAAATTTTCAGTGGCATACAGTCATTTTTTTCTAATTGTCTTTCAAGAAATTAGCAAAGCCAACCGCGAAACCGCGAGTCATTACACATCAACTGAAACAACTTAATTTTTAAGCACTCAAAACATCAATCTGAGGAACCATCCGTCGCCGTATCGTCTTAACTTGGCACCGAATGAGTTGCTTTTACACCCGTACGTAAGAAATAAACTGAGATGTCAACATTTTTCGACACCTCAGGAGATGGCCGCGGTAGGCGAGTGGTTAGCATTGTGAACTGCCATTAGAAAGACTCTGGTTCTAATTCCGGTGTCGTACTAACATCTGAAATGTTTTAGAAAATTAATTTAAATAAAAAATTGAATTGAATTTTCTCCAGAGTATGTCAACTCCTCCGAGTGTATTTCTGATATGAAGTAAAGGCACCTCGTAAAATAATCATCAGCCTTTCGGAGGCGGCTTAGTATAAACTGTAGGTACCTCCGTTTGTTGGAAAACCATCAAGACGCAAAAACCACAAATCGGAGGAGGAGCTTGACCGAAAAATCGCTTCAGCAATTACAAAGTGCCAATTATATATTATATAAAGAGGGTTCGTTATGCGTTTTGTTTTCTAGATACCTAAACCAGAGTGACAAATATGCTTCGACTATTCATTAAAACGCATGCAAAAATATATCGATCTTTGTGGAGATTGTTTTGAAAGAAAAAAATAAAAATAATTTCGATGACAATAATATATATATATATATTTTTTTCTATATACAATAATTAGCGGCCTGGCTTGGAACTTTTATTTTGATTTTTTGCCTGTGGATTGAATGAAATATATTAAAATTAAATATATAAACAGTTTTTTAATTGTTTATGTTCACTAAAGTAACTTAAAAACCATCAAAATTTTAATACCTTAATTTTTTTTTTAAACAAATAAACGACAAGCCACTTATTACCATCTCTCTTGGATTACTTAAAATGTATGGAATCGCTGTTATTATTCTATATATATTTCCCTATTTTCATCACTTTTTTATTCTCCTGAAGTTCTCGCAGACATTCTGCCACGCTCTATACCTATCAACGAGCATTCGGTGAAAATTTTATTACATTTTCCCACCTTCCGATTCAAAAGTTTTTGAAATATTGCTTTTTATCGCAATTTATTGTTTGACAAATATGCCAACGGAGGCGGCAACAGACACAGACTCTTGGGAGAGCGCATTAGCGCATTTGTGTCACAATAAAAGTTGGCACTCGCGACAATACTGTATTATATATATGTATGCATGTTAACTGTTACGGTACACACTGTTGGAGCGATATTAATAAGCCATATACAATGCCAATGTATGTATGTGACAAAAAAATAATATAAGACAATATATATATGTTCGTTTAAACAGTTATTATTTTTTTTCGTAATGGAAAGCGTTGCTCTTCGTTTAAGGAATACTTTCTACGTTTCTTCAAAAAAAATATATTTTTAATAAATATTTCTTCCCGTTGCTTGTAAGATGTATAAGTGAAAGGAATTTTTTTACGTTTTATTACCTGCGTTTTATTTTAACTCATTTGTTAGAAGAAGGCCTTCAAAAGCCTTTGTCATATGAACATAGTAATGATCAACCACCTACAACACTGTAGATTGGTTCTGAGGAACACAAATTTAATAAATTTAATTTAAGTTTATTAAAGCGCAGTTGACGCAATGTGGAAAAAAAAAATCTGAAAATCGAAAATATTGATTTTCTAAAAGTGAAAAAATTTATTTTATTTATAACAGTTACTGGCCGATTTTTGTTACACATTTCTTATCACACTTATGACTCTGTTATTTTATTATATGAATTTTCATATATACAAATATCTAAATATATATTGCCCGTAGTGGAAAGAAGTTTGGACAGTAGCGTGTGAAACTCACGGTTCCAAACCACGGTGCCAAGCGAAATCTATTACGTTTTAATTTTTACTTTTAGCGAAGCAATGAACTAGTATTCCACTAGTATAAAGCTGATGCATAATAGGGCAAATGACAGTTCGTAGCACATTACCAGTTTAAAAATACAAGTTATTAACAAGTGAAATTATGTAAGATGAAATAAGTGGTATACCTAGTTGGAGTCTAATATATCTGTAATGAAGGGTTTTTCAATAAGAGGTGTTATTTTGATTTTGCTATTCCGGTAGATGTCACTTTTGGAGCTGTAATTTTAAACATTTGACTACGCCAGTGGAACTAATGAAACGATATGTGCTTCAACAACCCATTAAAATTACCAAAATTCACTATAAAAATTTCATAGAAAGCTCATCTTGACTGATGGTGCCGGGGTTCACTTTTGAGACATAAAAATAATAATAATAATAATAATAATAATAATAATAATAATAATAATAATAATAATAATAATAATAATAATAATAATAATAATAATAATAATAATAATAACTCAATATTTAAAAGTCTATCCAGCCTCAATGTGTAACTGTTTAATGCAGCTTACACTCCTTAAGAACCCGAAAAAAATGTTTTTGGTTCGACGGGCTCATTTAACCTTGCTTTTTTGAAAATGAATGAATCGAGAGATGATGAATGATTTTTTTTTGTGATCAGAATTAGGTGGTATTGATAAGGACAATGTCTGCTACGTGCCACACAAGCAATATCGATATCTTAAGAAAAAAAATTTCTCTGAATATCAGTGTTATTCTGAACTTATTGGAAAACATTTAGAATAATGAGCAAAATATTTAAATACATTTCACTTGGATATGTTATAAATATTTTTTTTTTACATAAAAAATTTGTTATAGTATTTTGAACGTATTTACTACTACTTTTGCCGCTCATTTTTACTTATATTAATATTACTTTATTTATCATCATCACCTTTCTGTGCATAATAATTATTTTATTTATTCATTTTAGTTTAATTTTTGTTTGTGTTATGGTTATATGTTAGTTCATGGATCTGAAAATTTCATATCTTATATCAGTATATTTTTATTATATTATATAATATTGAAAATATGTGTATACAGAATTATCTAAGCATACATAATTAATAAATTCAAGCTAATATTTTCATTTATTCTCTCTTTCCTACCCAACAGGTGTTTATGGAGATGTGCAACGTGTGAAAATCTTATACAACAAAAAGGATTCAGCTCTCATACAAATGGCCGAACCACAACAAGCCTATTTGGGTAAGTAATTGATAAATTTTTTTGAAATTTTATTTCTTTAAATACTAGTTTTTCAAACAGTTATTTCATTTAACATACATATATATTTATTTATAGTATATATCTATAATATTTTATTTGTTTTCGCAATCCATTACCTTATCAGCCTTAAATACTTGCTGATGGTAGTCACAAAAATTTAAAAATTATATAAATAAAACGCAGCAGTTACAAGTATTTTCACAAACAAATTGCAATTCATAAATGAAATTTACGCTTTTAATAAATACAAATAGTGTAGCAGACATTAAATCGATCTCCCGCTGTGCACGCTGTTCGCGAACGGCTTTCCACAGCGACGATTGTCCCTGCATACGAGTACATATGTCGATATGCGCATTCGTACGCGCATAAGGGAGCTTGCAAGGATTCACTGAAATAATTGAAATTTTCATCAGCTTAATTATCTGCATTGCAAAGTGTCCCGAACCAATAAAATATTTTCGAGCGCCAACACCAGCACTACAGACGAATCGGATAGAGGACAACAGCGCACAGCACTAGGCGAGAGGAAAGTGGATTGTCCACACATTCAGCTACATATCTTGAAAGTTTCAATATGGGCACAACACCTTCAGGGCACAGTGTCAGTGTGTGACAGTCTTTGTTAGCGAGAAATTCGAATAATTTTATAAATGAATTTTTTTTTTTTTTCAGTGCAATGTGGAAAAGACCCTTTATTGTCATTTGGTTAACGGTTATAAGCTTTATTTACTTATTTGCTGTCACTGTAATTAGCAAAAATTTCTTGGAAATTTCATAAAAACAGTCATAAATAATTCTAGCATATTTGGAAGAGAATTTTATAAAAACAAGCTATCGAAGCTTGTTGCTCCTTGTTTTTGCTGAAAAATAATTTACACTTCCAGTTTAACAGTCAACCAAAGTTTTTCAACACACTTTGCACTGGTATTTTCATTAAAATATTTTAATTTGCTTTTTTCACAAAATATTTGTGTAATGTTCCCATTGTCAGCAGGACAGGTGGGGTCCTGTGCTTTTGAAGCGCATTGATATGTAATTAATACTTGATTGAAAAAGCATAACTAGGCATTTTCATCGATATTTTCTCACCATAAATACGATCAGCGCCAATCCTTTTGCTCTTCACCTGCACACCGCCACCTGTCGCCTGTCATCCATCTGCCATTCTCCTGGCTCCTTTCGACTCGTCGGTTTCAATGGCATTTATAATACCGCAAAATATTAATAAACATGGCAATGCATATGGATACAACAACAACTATAATAATAATAATAATAATAACAACAACAACAGCAACAACAACAACAACAACAACAACAATTTACAACAGCATCAGCAGCGAAACCACAATAAGAAAAATAAACTTTGCGGCTGTTGTTGTTGGCATTGCTTTGGTTGGTGGTGTTATGGGCAAGTGGTAGCTACTCGCGCAGAGAGGGTTTGATGAGGTTAAAAGCAATAATAAATGGAAACTGTTGCGGCCTGCGGTTGCATTCGATATTAAAAGCATTTTTGTTCGATTTCCGGTGAAAGGCAGCAAACTGCAGCGCACTCGTTGCCCTTGCCATCATCTACGGTACCCTAGCGCTATGTAATGGCGCTATACAAAAGCATACCTGCGCTCCTTCAACACGCCAAATATAATGCTTTTCATCGCCCACTCTTCTGCTGTGGCGGGTGTATCAGATAGCGTGGTTGTTGCTATGCTTACATTTTGGCATAAAGGTGGGCTGGCCAATATCGTGGGGTATACTGCATTTCCAACTGCAACTTTTTTGTATCTCTTATTCGTGAGCAGCTTAAAAAGGGGGTTGAGCTCCCCTCGCTACATTTTGATTGTTTGTCTGCCTTGCGATTGTTATTTAATTAATAAATTGCAGAATTTTTAAATATTTCTTTAGTGCATGCGCACAAAAACAGTTCTGTGCATTAAGCCTCCATGCCCATGTGTGTGTGTGTATGTAAGGGCATAAATATGTGCATATTGTACTATATAGTAGGCGCATTATTGGCAAACGGATGCGGGGAATTCATCTCTGTAGTAAAAGTAAAGTGAAACTTTAGAATATTTCCATATAATTTGTATTTTGAATATGTACATACGTGTATGTGTTTGACAATATTCGTAGAATAATATGCAGTATAATAATTTCAGTATTCCACGTGAGTGTAGTTTTATTAAAATAATTATATTCTCGTTACAATAACTTGAGAGGCTTCCACGGAACACATTTAATTATATTAACTTTTATGGGTTGATTTATTACTGTGTGCGAAGTGATATCATATAAATATTTTATTTATCAGAAAGTAATATTGCAATGTTCCTATGGAAAAATAAATGAAAATAGATATTTTGATAGCCCACATAAATTATTGATAAGATAAATAGTTATTCATATACTTATTCTGCCATATACATATACATATATTTTTTATCTATATACGAGTATACCATACAAAGCTTTCCATTATGAGGTAAGAAAGAAAAACTTCATTCTTTGAGTTAAACGATTTGATGTTTATTTCAGTGTAAAAAATGAAGATATGCCATTTATACTGAAAACCAATATCATGGCCGCATCGGCTACACTTACTTTTAATCGAATTTTCCATCACCAAATCGCAAAGGGGCTTCTGTATGCTCTCAATATCTTCACATATTCCATAGGTGAGCTCTTGAATCGATGTTGGCATATCGAACTTATCTCTGAAGTCGCAAGATCCACCTATTCGTGGGTTAACACGGTACGAAAACTTTTCCATTAAGGCAGTACACTCCTCACGAACCCGAAAAAAAACCTTTTCACAACAATTATTTTATTTTTTTTATTTTTATTTTTTTTGATAAAGAAGGAAATTATTGCGTTAAATATGAAATTTTCAGATAATACAAGGTACCTTCCAAAGTAAACAGCACTTTTTGAATCTAGCGCCATCTATATGTCGACTAGTGCGTAAGAATCTTCTATCCTTTTTCGACTTCCAGTAAATTTCATTACATTTCATATATTGGAAGTGAAGCTGTTGCGTTTTAAGTGTCAGTATGTTCTTGTCATCTGTGCGAAAATGAGCTTCGAACCAAGAGCCCGCAATAAATTTTGTTTTAAAATTGATAAAACTTATACCGAACGTTTCAATTGATGAAACAAGTTTATGGCGATGACTGCCTGTTCCATAGCAGAGTGCACGAGGGGTGAAGACAAATGACGATGAACATGTGAGCCAACCGAAATCCGTGATTACCGAAACACAATTCATAAAAAATCAGCCGAAATCATCACTGAAATTCATGGAAATAGAATTGAACATCTCCAAAACATCGATTTATCGCATTTCGACCGAACATTTGTGCCAATAAAACTGCTCTAGCTACTAAATAATATCGAAATGGTCATTACAATTTTAAGACATATTCTTATTATTATTCCATTGACGAAGCCATCGATGTGGAAATGGGTCTCAAATCTAATCACGTATCTACAATTTCGCATTTTTGTTTTAATTTCCCAGCAAATGTTAATATATGAATCAATTGGTGCGTTCAGCGAACTGAGCGCTCAGTAAACATGCTCAGTGAGCGGACCCTGAAAGCAGTGATTAGTTAGCGCTCAGTTAACATGCTCAGTCATACCATATTTTTGAGAGAAAAATTTTTATGCTAATTGCTACTGATCAGTCCATTGCTGTATACAGAAAAAATGAAACGCGAAAATGTAGAAGTATTTTGACTTGAAAGTGCTTTTGGCGACAATTTACTAGATTTTTTGCGCTGTCAAATAGATTTAGTTGCGCCATCTGCGCTAGATAAACAGTTTTTCAAAGAAAAAAATTTAAAAGAAAGGAGCGAACATTTTTATGAAGAAACTGTGCGACTTCACAATTAGTTTCGGCAGTTGAAGTAGCATTGCGTTCATGAAAATCGCTCACTGAACATGTTTACTGAGCGCTTAGTTCGTGTTTCAACGCTTCTAATTTTTAAACACAATAACAAAGAAAATATGCGAAAATCCAATTATGCAACTTTATTTTTAACATTTTGTCAGCTCACAAGATTTAACCAAATTCGTCATTAAATATTTAATATATAATAAATAATATAAAATATATATTATATTATATATAATATATATAATATAGAGCGTAGATAACTTTCATTTCGCTTATTATGGATAATAATAATTATTAATAGTTTTTATATAGTTCGAAGGTTCTCTTAGTGCGAGCTTATTGCTACAATGATAATGATACATGCATATATATATATATATAAATATTTATAAATGTGTGAGAATGTGTAATAAACGCTTATGTATGGCATGCGTCAATGCGCCACTTAAGTGCACTACCACCGCACCGCGCTTGACCGCCGCCAATCTCAATTTTTCGCGCAGTCAACTTGACTCCGAGCACACACGCACACACTTACACACACACCCACGCCAATTCAGTTTGATAATTTCCCACAACGCACGTTGCTTAGCTACAAATAGACGATAAAGTGCACATACACACCCCCTAGCTAATGCACTGCTTGCCGCTTCCCTGCAAAAATTTGTTGACAAATTGATCCCTTGGAGTACTCTTCTGTAATGCAACGCTGGGCCAGCGCACTTCACGCTACCAGCTTATTTTCAGTCAATGAGTTTAATGGTTTTTTTTTATAACACAAAGAATATGAGTGAGACTGCATTCGAAAGCTGCAACTTTGTGATGAGCTCTTTTTGCAATAGTGGAGTTCATATTCGAAACAGAAAGGTATTTTCGAATGTAGTTTTCCGTGTAGATACTCCACATTGTAATCCGCTGTAGGTACTGTATGAAGTATCTTTAAGAGAATAGTTTCAAAAGCAAACTTTTTTAGGGTACTGCTGCATATGCAGACGTGGAGTAGATGGGGGACCTAGCCCTTGGGCATTGCAATATTAATTAGACCATATTTTTCGTATGGATTGTGTTTTTTTTTTTTTTTAGT